CTATTCAAGCAAGCATGCACAAAGCTTGGGCGTTCCTCTTCTTCTTCTTTTTCTTCTTCTCTGCACAGGTGGGCACGTGCGTAGACCCCTGCACTCAGGCCTCTTCAGTCGGACCCATTGTGCGCCCACTTGTCCTGTGAATCAGCTGGGTATGCCGATTTCTTTGACGAAATTCAGCAGCTTCCTCAGCTGAGTCGCTTTCACATCCTTTGGGTGCAGTACAATGCTCCCAAAGGCAGCTTTCCTCTGATACACCAGCGCGGGGCATTCAGTGAGTATGTGTGATGATGTTTCATCATCCTCCAAGCACCATCAGCAGATGGGATCATCTTTGATCCCTATGAGTTCTAGGTGCCTGTTGAGGTGGTTGTGCCCAGTTAAGAGCCCAACTACCATCTTGAGATTCCTTCTATCAAGTGACAGGCTCTCTCTCGTTCCTTTTTCTTCACATTTTTGAAGTGGACATTTCGTGTTTTGTCCATGTGTACGTATTTTCAAACGAGCAAATTAGCTGACTATGCTGCGTTATTGCTATGGAATTCTGTTTATACTAAAAAATTGTGGTTAGGCTATCAGATGACGGTGTCATGTCAATTTCCACAATATTGTGAAATTCCTCTTTTTTTCCCTGTGGTCTACATATACATTATATTATAATGTAATAATTGTAATGAATTCATGATTTTCATAGAATTCTAGGTTTTCTTACACATTGTTACAGCATATTCAAATAAATGTATGTTCCCAATGATGTTTTTTCAATATTCAATTTATTGAGTGAAATGCTGCGAATATATACAGGGTTACATATTCAAATGAATACAAATATTTCAAAGCCTGAGAAGGCTTGACGTAAACTATTCGACAGTTTACGTCGAGCCTTCTCAGCTCGATCGAATGGCACTATTAATCAAAATTGAATTTGGAATGAGAACCCTTCCTTTTAACACCCAATGTTCCACACTGTAGCAATTCGGACGTCACGTCTATCACCGAACATAAACAGAGTTTATGTTCGGTGCCTCTGTACAAATTTCTGTGCAGAAGGCATATACATACTCGGAATTCAAGTGGCGTACCTGATTATTTTTTCAAGGGGAGATGGAAGTATTAGCTGGGATACACTCTATGTACTTATTTTAAAAACACCTCGTATACAGTCGGGCAACCTATGGTAAAATAAGATCCGTATTTTCATAATCGTAAAGATATCCAAAAATTCCTTGAAAAGGATGAGTTTAATTTTTTCAAATCTGTTTTTACACGTTCTCAACTACCTGTCAACCTCTCCTCATACAGATCAACTCCTTCGAAATTTTAAAATTGTACGAGGGATCAAGTTACACCTTGTTAGAGAGATATTTCAATCTCTATATAATACAACAATTCTACATTATAATTCGGTGTAACTTGACCTCTTGTACAGTTTGAAAGTACTGAAGGGGTTGAAAAATTAAACAAGAAAGAAAAGATATATTTTTGGAAATAAAAATCGACCTGTCCGAGTATTTTCAAAAGTATATATCAGTTATGGAGATACGGATTTTATCATAGGTTTCCACACTAGGTAGATCATTCATTTTACCAACTCTATCAAGTAAGTAGGTTTCGACTCAGATTCATTGCATCATCGACTTCTGATTCCTTTATAATTTGTATTCAAAAACCTACAATCGACATATATATATACTGGGTTTCTAACGGTAGCCGTTCGTTAAAAGTTTATGTTTGTAGGAATTCTCAATTCTAGGACTACTTATGATTAATATCCAAGGTACCGACGTATAAGAGTTTCATGTCTGATGGTTAAATATTTGTGTCTCATTGTTGAAATCAAGATACAATATAGGAAACTTGGTGTGCGTGGTATGAAATTGTGGTTGCGCTATGAACAGAATGGGATAACGAACATCAATGGTGTGGACAGTAAATGCGACTACTGGTTCTGAAAGCACTCTACTGTGCAATGGTAGAGGTTAGGCATTTCATCGGTTTTTTATATAAAAGGATGGGAAATTCTGATCGATTTCAATATCAATACAAAATGTATCCCAATTCATATAGTTTAACAATTTGTTTCCCGGCCGAGTTGATTTTTATTACGGCAAGGTCAGTTGAGATCTATATGAAAATGCCAACTTTAGAGCCCATCCCAGTAAACACATACTACTTTATAGAACGTTGAATAACGATGAGAATTGAGGAAAGAACGTTATTGGTTGAAAACTTCAACGTTGAAATTTGGTTAAAAAAAAACGAGTAATCAACACGTTGTCTAGACGTTTCATTTCTATCAATTCAATACTTTGTGTTAATCTACAACCACTATTAAACGTGAGAAGGAAACGTTGATACTTTGAAGCATTATCATTTTATAAATCTTATTGAAACGACACCTCCACAAGGTACGGTAAAATGATTGCTGGAAATAACCTGTATATAACGTTATAGAAAAATACTAGATTGAAACAACAAATCATTGTCTATTTCAACGTATGAGATTTTCATAATTATAACCTTTGGTGTACTTGACACGAAGTTTAATGGTCTGCTGATAATGTTGAAAATACGTAGAGATTGACTGATTATATTTTTAACGTCTATCATTATGTGAAACATATGATCAATAGATATTCGAATATTCCATTATCATAAAAACATATACTGATTCAACTACTGGTTATTCAACGACTTCAAGATGTAATGATCCTACGTTAGTGATACTGAATAATTGAACGTTTTCCTGAATATTATTGGAAATTACCAATTTATTATGTACAGGGTGACTGGAAGTAGAGCCTCATCATCGGGATCTTGTTAACTGTATTAGAGGAAAATAACGAAGATAACATAACTTCCTGAGAAACGAAATTCCACAATGATTGGATCCTTTTGGTTAGATTTCCTATGTTCTCATCGTTCCCACAAATTTTCAAAATCATGCATTTTTCAGATCTCCATAGGATCGCGTTAACTCTTGGAGATATAACCGTCCTCACGGTGAGCTAACGTTTATTCTGAATTAAATTGATCTCTTGAAATGAACGTTTTTCAAACGTTTTGTATATGATAACCGTTGGTTGAAAAAATAGGTAAATTCATGTTTTCTAACAACGTCAGTTAGTCGTCATCAGAGAACGTATATTCAGTCCGCTAACATCTTGCCGACAGTCACATCAAGAGTTTAGATACAAATACAAGTATCCGAGCATATTTTAATAGGGATCCGTAGAGATATGCACCTCACTAAAAAGAAAGTGGAAAAGCGAAGGAAAGAAAATATCTTGAAAACAAATCAAGTAAGTGAATTATATTAATAATAGTAATGGTTGTGAAAATGAAATAATAATAATGAGATATTTGTTGACACATAAATAGCGTTATATAATTTGGCTAAAACGTTCTAGAAAAGTTCGAAAAATCGAGAATTCTACGATTGGAAATTGATCCGAAGAGAACGTTGAAAAATCGTTCTTCATCAACTTGTTTGAATCCTCAGTTTTCGACATCTGATTATGGTTATTTGGAACAGTAACAAAACGTTGATATCTCACATGTATTTCTTGTGGAAAATTCGGTTGAATACCAGGCCGATTTCATCGGATTCGAACGATTATTGACTCTGAAATTAGTGGTTGGAAACACGTTTGTGTAGTGTATTTCAGCGACATTTTTGCTTATTTGCATATAATGTGCTCAACAATTTCCATGAAACGTTATTTCAACCGACCGTTGTGGTGATTCAACTACGTTATTTCGACGTGACTGTATCCACTGGGATTGCTATGATCCGAATGGAGATAAAAAATAACTTTGATACAAAAAATATGGTCATTCAGAATATGAGAAACAAAAAGGTTACTTTGTGGGAAAAATAATATTTCTGACGCCATTTCTGTCACTTTGCAACAGGTTGAAAAATGTTTTAGAACAAAAAATATACCTTACACACAGCTATTCAAATTCACCCTGCCAAATTTGCATTCGCAGGTATCCTTTTCCTATTATGAGCCAAGGGCGGAAAGTTTGAATCACCCCATTTGGTTGGTGATATCAAAAGACTAAGTTGAACCATCGTCGTTTAACCATCCAAATTCTATCTATTCATTTTTCCTGCAAACTCTGAATATGCGTTGATCTATTTTCTTGATTTTCAACTCTAGTATTGTGATCTTGAAATTATTCGGATCCCCAATATGTAACTCGTTTCATTTGTAAAAATCATTCTGTTGCCACCACCGTTACCATAATGGAACAGATTATACGCAGGTGGTGATTTTGTGGTACCGAGATGAGTAGGAATCAACAATAAATATGCTGAGAATCCATTTGTGCTCATGTACACTGCATCTATTATAAATAGCACTACCTGTACCAGTGTGAGGCGTATGGATGGCTAAGATTCGAAATCTCTGGAACTAGGAAGATCTAATTGCCCTAAGGTGGATGGACATACTTTCAGCATCAGCAGATCACGGAAGTTTGGATAGGAGAAATAGGAGAAGGAATAGTAGATAATGTGTGCAGCAGGGGTTAGCAAAAAGAGCCTACTTGCTAGGCGACCTCCTCGCCTTTCACTACAACTACTAGTATGTACCTACCTATGAAAATGTATTCAATGAACTCATGATTTTCCACCACTTGTAGTAATTCGAAGTTGCGACCCAAGCCAAATTTATTCATAAAACTATATGGAAATCAAATGAATGATCTATTCTTATTATATAAATAACGTGGCTCAGCTTGGTTGAAAACACTTCAGGCTAACACGAGAGGCCACGTATTTCACTTCAATGGAATCACTATACAATGGATGACATCAAAGAAACAATGATTATTGATAAATAGGTGGGAAAACGGAGATCATTACATTTAATGATTGAACCTGGTTTCTGAATGTGAATACCTTTGATTGAAACTAAAATGTACCTTGTGCCTGTGTGATAATATGTGGAAGGATTCATCAGAATTCAGACTTCTCAATTTATGTGCATACTCACATTTATTATTCAGTGAATGATGTAGTTCATGCACAGCATTCCAAAGTAGAGCTGGTATCTGAAACATAATGAAAAGAAAAATTGAAGATTGCCTTAAGAGTAGTGTGAACAGAATAATGGTGTATCGTAATCATAGTTCGAACCCCAATCACATCTGGATGAAGATATACATGAACTTGCTTTGTTTAAGACAGTGAAACAATCAAAGCATCTAGTGGTTTATTAATTTTTCGATTGTACGGAATTCGACAAAGTTGAGAATGTTAATAACGAGAAGCTACAAGCTGATATGTCTTCATTGCACATGCAGCCATATCAATGGTCCTCTCTTTTTCTTATGTTACTTGCTTTATTCAAGACGATAGAAGAAGGGCGCATCTAGTAGTTCATAATTTTTCAATGACACGAAATTTGACAAAGTTAAGAATGGTTGGTTGAGGCTTTTTGTCGTGCCAGAGTGTCTGCTTGTTCATTCTCCTCCACTCCGATATGCTCTGGCACCCAGAGGAGGATCACTTGATTGTTACTGCCTAGCTCATTCAATTTGCCTAGGCATTTCCATTCCATCTTCGAGTTGATGTTGGAAGAGCTCAATGCTTTGATGGCTGCGCTTGACTATCAAATACAATCGCGATATCCTTCTTCCGGTATTTCCTGTCTAGGTTGAACCGGATGCATCTTTCTATGGCGTGTATTTTCGCTTGGAAAATGCTGGAAAATTGTCCCATGGATTCGGAGTATTTGGTGCGAGGCCCAAAGACTCCTGCTCCAGTTCCCTCGGGTGTTTTAGACCCGTTTGTATACCAAGTAATGGAGTTCCTTCCTAGCGTTTCGATGAATTCTATACTCCAGTTGCGCTTGTTGTTCAGTTTCACTCGGAAGTTCTTTTCAGAACTGAACTTCCTAATGATTTGGTCTGTTGAAAGATCGGCGAGGTGTGCGATCTCAGTGGAGGGTGAGCTCCTTGCACTGTGCATTCACCCTCTTAGTCCGACCTTGGCCAACCTGAAGTGTGCCTCATAAGCAGTTCTCCCCACCACGATGTGTAGAGGTGTGAGATACAGAATGACCTCTAGTGCTGCCGTTGGAGCTGCTCTCATTGCTCCTGTCATGCAAAAACATTCCATAATATTTTTCTTGTGGTGGCGAATTTGGTTCTGCCGTGCCACACTACTGCTCTGTAGGTGATCATAGGTCTCACTAGCATGGTGTACATCCATCGTAGTATTTATGGGTTGCACCCCCACGTTTTGCCTGCAGATAAAAGTAGGTCTAGTTGTTCAGAAGTTATGATGAGAAATGTAGTTTTTGCCAGATCTTGACATCCTTTAGGTACCTTCGTCAGGAAATGTTTTATAACAAAGTCTACTTGAGGGAGTCAAATGATTTGTTATCTTCTTGAGATCTCGAGTTCAACGTTCAATCTAAACCACCCTGTATAGCAGATATATGATAACAGCAATGAGGGGAATCACTAATATAGGCCAATATGAAGAGTGAATAATGTGGTGATTGGGATTGGCATCACTAATTAACCACTGTATTATATCTGGTATCATCTGATGTGATATTGTATAGGAGCAGGAGTTATGAAATTTGAGTCTATATATATATCAATTTTCAGCCTCCTCTCATCAGTTCATAATACTTGGAGCTCAAACAACTTCAATTTCAGTAATATAAATGTATTCAATATCAACAGTATACCCACGTGAAATAGCACAATTTCACGATACTTACTGCGTTATCTCTTCAAGTTCCATATTTTTCCCAGAAGGAGTTATTTACAATTCCATATCGCATTAAACGAAAATTTAACACGTTTTCGAGCTCGGTACGTGGCGTTAGGCAATTCAATTAAGATATTATGCTGGAGTTATACTATCACGAAAAGGTTCAGTTTAAATTAAAAAAGATTTATGTAGGAATATGTCGGGAACAGAGCCTGTTTCATAGAGCTTGCTTCACGTTTCATTGGCTGCGAAAACAGAATGGTTTCTTGGAATTGCTCTCTAATTTTGTGAAGATGTGTTAAGAATTTACAATTCATATAGTGATTACTAGTCTAACTTATCGTTATCTGGGTGAGAAAGAAAGAATAGAAAAAGAATATGGGAGATGTACGAGAGGCAATACTTCTTCATCTTCACACAAAAATTTGAAAGAAATTCTTTCGCATTCATTAGATAAGATAGAAAGAGAGAATAGACAATATTTTCATATATTTTCCTCGATGGCCATTGAAGTAGGTAACTGAAGTTGACTCAATCGATTATAGACCAGAATTTTAGTGTGAGAGTTTGTTGGAATTGTTTCATTGGTAGGAACATGCGAACATAAAATATACAGGTTGTCCCATCAAAATTTTTGAATCTGATGTCACGTGACTGAAAACAGATAGCTTATTACATTGTGTTACAATAATTTTGAAAAAAGTTGCATCGATTGCTTTGAATCCGTGAATTACAACTACTGAATCACAATGTACTACTATGCTTTTTAGTTCGGTGAAATTTCCTGTCTTAATTGTCGTGGGACGACTGTATAATATGACGTATTGATTCATATCATTTCATACCTGTGACACATAATTTATGCCATTACAACCATTGTTTTTATATAGGTTATATCATTCATAAACAAATTACCTTTGAATTTATCTCAAGCAGCTATAGGTATCTCAATTATGAAATCTCTTGTAACAGGGGGGGCCAGGTAGCCGTGCGGACAGAGTGTCTATATTCTAATTCGCATTCGCTTGCCGGTTATGGGTTCGATTCCCATCGACTGCATAAATTCTTCTGATGGCCCAAGAAAGTGTTTGGGATCACACGTTAGGCCCCTGTCATTCCTAGCTCGCACAAGACTTTCGAAGACTTCTGAGGGTTGCTCGTAAGGGGGCAACCGAATGACGGATAGAACAATTCAATTCAATTCTAGAAATAAACAGTCTCGGAGTATGAAGGAGTAATAGAATCTTTCGAAATGATAATTATTTATTCAATAATATAAACAGCTGATATACCAACTGGAGATATCAGGTAAACATACATGAAACCAGTGTATATTGGGGGGCTAAGCAATGCTCAGTCGCCACACATTGTCATCGACTAGTACACCGTCGTAGTAAACCGTTCTTGACACTCAATATACTAAGTAGACCTTTGGTGTCAATGTTGTTCTACCAGAACCACATAATGTGAGTACTTGAGAGGTCTATGCAGTATATGAACCTATAGCATGCAACTTATAAACTCCTAAGAATCTTTCAATACGATGTTGAATAAAATGTTCGCGATCGCGGTAATAATAATTGCTGATAATACGATGCAATGGTTGAACAAATATCATCCAACTGGTGAATGCTTGAATATCAGAGTTTTCCGAAGTAGAATAACAGAATTTGAAATCTACTTCCTCATTGATGTCATCAATTCAAGCATAAGGAACTGAAAGTCCTTTTCATCGCAGAAGATCTAAAAATGTATATGAAAGTGATATATGTTGATAAATAGTCTTCCCTAAAATGCATTTGTTGATTTGTGTATAGCTTACTGCCTAAGATTATCTCAATACTAATTAGTGATACTCAATGATGTTCAATATAGATCTCTTCCACCTATTCAAATCCTTCATGATAGCTCTGATATTGTTGCAATTTAGGTACGCTCCAATCAATCGATAATCATTTCCGAATGAAGACTACTTGAGGATCCAATATGCACTATTTATTGATCATATTCGCTCCGGTACTATAATTTTATCGCAGCCTATACATAAACAATTCTCGAAAATCGTATTCGCTCATAATAATTGAAAACTCATCAGTTATCAGCTTCAACCTGAGTGAATAACTTGACTGCAGAGCTATCGATCTTTATTTCGCCAGAATTATTTATTGCTGAAGCTGTTTTTATCGTGTTGATTTCCCATCAATTACGCTAGTTTTCGGCTTAAGTTGACTGGCAACATGCGAACCGGCTGCACGAAATAATAGTTATGCTTGAGTGAATTTTGATAGATTTGATAGCAGATAAGAAACAATTATTCGAAATCATGACGATAAAATTAGAAGAGGTTGAAGGAAAGGCATGATATAGGAGGAATAACGTTATAAGGTTCTTCGAATGAAAAGCAAAATGGAAAAATCTAAAATAGTAAAATACCAAGAAGAATACATCGTTTCTGATGAACACAGCAATATCATTATCTATATTGAGTCACTGTTTTTCGAGGTCGAGAAATATAATCACTAAATATATTTGATCTCAATTTAATGATCGGAACATTTATTGTGGAAGTACATATTATATTCTGTATAGATCTGAGTGAATCAAGATTACATAATTTTTATATGGCATTGAGGAATCAGTTTGTATTTTCTATTTCTCGATGACCACTTACACAGTACTGATTAAACAGATAGATATAGTTTGATAAGTACATATCATTTATATAATTCTCATCAATTCGAAATATTGAATTGAATGATATGTTGAGTTGAATTTTTCTAAAAGAATATCCAGACTTCAACCAATACCTACTATGAAATTTCAGCCCTTATATTGTAATCAACCCTCGTCCTTAGACTTCTTTGCTTTCACAGAGCTATCATTGAGGAAAATTGTGCTATAAGAGTTTTTGCTTCGATATTTCTTGCTACCATTATAAATCATATTACCGTTATACAATTTCGAATAGAAGCAGCACCTTGAAATTCTATGATAGCAATAACGAATTTGCTGAAAGTGAATTTTCTGCCACAGGAAGGTATACTGCTGTCGCTATCTCAGGCAGCCACTCTGAGATAGTATGAATTTTTTATAATTGTCTAGCTGAACTACTACTAGTGAGTTCTATGCTTGTGGCTGCGAGGTTCATCCCATAGACCTGCAATCATTACCAATGATACAACTGTCAGTGCGCCACGAAAATAATATTTGACGAACCTACTTGGGGTTATTTAGCGCCTACTACTCGATACTTTTTTTATTCGTCCCCCTCCATATAAGCATTTGACAGACATCTTGCTTTATCAATCATTCACAGTAGTTGGGA